TGACCATTTGAAAACTTTACCTTCCCCAAACCTCCAACACCTCAACCCTCACCCTCACTTGCAGCAGATAATCCCTGTTTCACAAGAAAAAGGAAGTCATCAGATGTGAACCTCTCAGCTTCCCACAGTCAAACCTGTGTGTCTGCTTCTCTGTTCCTCGTCCTCATCTCTCCTCCTGTTACTGTAGAGGAGACATTTTCTCTTTCCACAAGGCCAGTTTCTTTCTTCCTTTTTCCCTTGGGGGATAGGGAGCCTTCAGTAACTTCTCCTTCTGGGATCTCGCATTACTCCTCCTCCACTGAGACTCAAGTTCAGATCTTTTCCTTCTCAAATATAAGTAAGCAGGGACACACACACACACATACATTTAGTTGGGCCAGCATCCCCCTCTGCTTTAGTGCACTTGTCATCTTCACTACCAAAATCTTTGAAGTATTTGTATTCATACTACTCTTCCTCTTCTTCTTCCTCCTCTTCCTCTTCCTCCTCTTCCTCTTCCTCCTCTTCCTCTTCCTCCTCTTCCTCTTCCTCCTCTTCCTCCTCCTCTTCCTCCTCCTCCGCCTCCTCCTCTTCTTCTTCTTCTTCTTCTTCTTTAAAAACTCTGTCTCTCTTTTCAACCCATTCCAATTTGCGTTCTGGCCCTTTGAGAACACACAAAAGCTTATTCTGCTTAGGTCATCCATGACTCTCCTGTCTCTAAATCAGTGAAAAGATTTCAGTTCTATATTTTATCTCATCTCCCAGTAGGAGTGTACCCCGCTGTCCCCATCCTTCTTTAAACCCTCTGCTCTGTGGGGTTTGATGACACCACACTTTCCTGGTGTCTCTGTCACCAACCTGGCTGCTCCTTTCCAGGCTTCTTTGTTGGCTCTTTTTTGTTTGGTCACTATACATTGGAGGGTGGGACTTACCAGACTTGACATGAAATCTCTTTGCATATGAATTTTAGGATCTGCTTGTTCATTTGGGTGCAAAAGGCAGCTGAGATTTTTGGCAGGGATTACATTGGATCTATACATCAATTTTGGGGAATTACTATCTTAACAATATTGAGTCTTCCATTCCATGAACATGGGATATCTTTCCATTTATTTAGGTCTTATTTAACTTCTTTCAACAATGTTTTGTAATTTTCAGTGTCTCTGTCTTGCTCTTCTTTTGTAAAATTTTATTTCTAAGTATTTTATTCTTTTTGATGTTATTGTGAGTGGATTTTTTCTAATTTAATTTTTTGTTATTGCTAGTGTATAGCGGTATGGCTAATTTTTGTATATTGATCTTGTTTCCTAAAACCTTGCTAAATTTGTTTGCTAGTTCTTATAATTATGTTTGTGGATTTCTTAGGATTATTTTTGTAAATAACATCATGTCATCTATAAACAGAGATGGATTAATTTCTTTTTTCTTTCCAGATTGGAGGACTTTAATTTTATATTTTTGCCTAATTACTCTTGACAGAACCTTGAGTACCATGGTGAATAGAAGTAACAGGAGCCAACATCTTTATCTTATTCCTGCTCCTAGGGAGAGAGTTCTCAGTCATTCAGCATTTAGTATAATATTAGGAGTGGGTTTTTCATAGGTGATCTTTATCAGGTTGATACCGTTCTCTTTTATTCTTAGTTTTGTGACTCTTTTCAATGTGAGAAGCTATTGGGTTTTGTTTATTGGATTTTCTGTGTCTATTGAGATAGTTATGTGGTTTTGTCCTTTCTTTTTTTTTTTCTTTTGAGACAGAGCCTCAAGCTGTCCCCCTGGGTAGAGTGCCGTGGCAACAGCTCACAGCAACCTCCAACTCCTGGGCTCAAGCAAGTCTCCTGCCTCTGCCTCCCAAGTAGCTGGGACCACAGCCTCCCGCCACAATGCCCGGCTATTTTTTGGTTGCAGCCGTCATTGTTGTTTGGAGGGTCCGGGCTGGGGATTCGAACCCGCCACCTTAGGTGTACGTGGCTGGCACCTTAGCCGGTTGAGCTATAGGTGCTGAGCCGTTTTGTCCTTTCTTTTACTAACATAGTGCATTGCATTGATTGATTTTTCCTCAGTTAAAAATCTTAATATTCCTGAGATAAATCCCCCTTGATCATAGTATCTAATCCTTTTTGTATGTTGCTAATACTTTTTGAGGATTTTTGCATATGTATTCATAAGACATATTAGCCTGGAAGTTTTTTTTCTTGTGGTGTCCTTTGTTGTCTTTGTATGATTATGGTACAGAGTATGTGTTTGATGGAATGATTTGGCAAGTATTCCCTTTTTTTTCTATTGATGGAAGAGTTTGAGAAAGTCAGTTTTAATTCTTCCTTAAGTGTTTGCTAGATTTCACTGGTAAATTTGAGGTTATCCTTTTTTTGAATAGCAAGTTTTTCATTTTGTAATTCATTATCTTTACTTGTTATTAGGTATATTTGGATTTTTTATTTCTTGAGTCAGTTTTTGTCCTTTTAGAAATAGGCCTGTTTTACAACCTTATTAATTTGTTGGTTTAAAATGTTTCATAACATTCTCTTTTAGTCCTTTTTATTTTTGTAAGGCCAATTGTGATGCTCCCTCTTTTATTCCTGAGTTTAGTAATTTGACTCTTATCTTTCTTTACCTTAGTCAATTTAACTAAAATTTGCCAATTTTGTTACAAATAACCAACTTTTGATTTCATTGATTTTTATATGCCATTTTTCTGCTTTATATTTAATTTATTTCCACTGTTGTCTATATTGTATCCTTCTTTTTGCTTTGGTTTTGCTTGCTTTTAAAATAAATTCCTTAAAGTTTAAGATCTCTTTTTTTTCCCCTTCCCTCATTTCTCCTTTCCTCCTTCTTTCCTTCTCTCCCTCCTTTCCTTCCAACTTTATTTCTAGAAAAGTTTTAGGTTCATAGCAAAAAGTACAGGGAGTTCTTATATACCCCCATCCTTACCCACATACCATCTTCTCCACTATAGACATCCTGCACCACAGTGATACATTTGCTACCAGATTGATGAACCTGCATAGATACGTCATTACTACCCCAAATCCATAGTTTACATTGGGTTTACTCTTTGTGTGGTTTATTCCATGGATTGTGACAATTGTATGATGACATATATCCACTATTATAGTATCACACAGAATAGTTTCACTATCCTGAAAATCCTCTATGCTTTGCCTTTTCTGCCTTTCCTCCCTGTATACCCCTGGCAGCCACTGATCATTTTACCGTCTCCACAGTTTTGACTTTTTCCAAATGTCATATGATTGGAATCATACAGTATGTAGTCTATTCTATTGGCTTCTTTCACTTAGTGTTATATGTAAGGTGCATATCATTTCTGGCTTGATAGATTACTTCTTTTTAGCATTTAATAGTCTATTGTCTGTGTGTACCACAGTTATTTATCCAGTCACCTATTGAAGGGTATCTTGGTTGTTACCAAGTTTTAGCAATTATGAATAAAGCTAATGTAAACATCCATTATAGATTATTGTGGACATAGGTTTGAACTCATTTGGGTAAATACCAAGGAATGTGGTTGCTGGAGCATATGATAAAAGTATGTTTATGTTTATAAAAAACTGCCAATCCATCTTCCAAATGGCCATACCATTTTGCATTCCCATTAGTGATGGATAAGAGTTCCTTATTAGAATTTAGTGTCTTCACTACTTCATATTTGACCATTCTAGTAATTACTTAGTGGTATCCTATCTTCTTTTTTAACAGAGGCATTTATAGCTATATCTTTTCCTTTCAGCACTGCTTTAGCTGTATCTAACACATTTTGATATGTTGTGTTTTTGTTTTTATTCATCTCAAAGTATTTTCTAGTTTCCTTTGTGATTTCTTCTTTGACCCATTTGTTATTAGGAGTTTGCTGTTTAATTTTAGTGTCTTCGTGGATCCCCCAAATTTCCTTCTGTTTTTGATTTCTAATTTTATTTCATCATGATCAGAGAAATAAAATTGGGTTATTTTGCATAATTTTAAGTCTTTTCAATTCATTGAGATCTGTTTTGTGGGGCAGTTCTGTCTTTGCATAGAGTTTTATTCAATATCTAATTGGCATGCCCACTTGGATACTTCAAAGGAACATAATACCAACAAGCACAAGATCACACTCATGATAGCCCGCCCTCTTCTTTTGGTATTCTCCATCTCACTGAAGGTGCCACTATCCCTTGAGTTGCTCTGGCCAGAAACCTAAGATCATCTTTGTTATCTTCTTCTCCCCTCCTCCCTAAATTTGATTCTTCACTGAGCCCAGCTACTCTGCTTTTCTAGAACTTTTGAATCCAGTCACTTCTTTCCATCTCTATGGCCAATATCACAGTAATCAAATACTGTCTTTTACAGAAACTACTATAATTTTCCTTAGTTTAAACTATCACCATCTTTACAAGAACTACTAAATGGTTTCCCAAGCAATACATTTTATGCATAGGAGCCAGTTTCTACATTGAAAAACGTACAGATCTTGTTAACTTTCTGCTTAAAGTTGTATCAAGAAAAGATCCCTAATGCCAACATGGCCCAGAGGCTTTGTGTGGTCTGGTTCTCTCTGGCCTCATCACACCCCTTTGCTCTCTGCCCACGAGACACACAGGCCTGTTTTCAATTCCTTGGCTGCCTCATCCTCCCTCCTGCCACAGGGGCTTTGTATCTGCCATTACCTTTGCCTGAAACTTTTCCCCCTCCTGTTTCTGTTAAATCCCCTATAGTCTTCAAATCTCTTTTGAAGCATTACTTCCTCAAGAAAGGTTTTCTATACTGGAGACCAGATTATTATAAATTTATTATAAATTTTTCAGTACTTTTTTGATTAATGTCAGTGTCTTATAAACTCTGAGAGAAAAAGAATTCTGTGTTTGTTTACCATAGTAGCCCTTGCACCTGTCAGTGCTTGGGTAAAGAGGGCCACAATGAATGTTAGATGAACACAAAGAACAATCCCTCACCCTAGACTCTGCTTCGGCCTTGGATGTGCTGCCCAGCCATGCTTAATGCAGAATCCCAGCCACACTCACCGCAGGGTCTCCAGGTGGCAGCGAGGACGTCTCAGGGTCTTCCTAAGACTCTGCACTGCAGAGTGGCTCAGCGAATTTCCACTTAGGTCCAGCTCCTTCAGGCTTCCAGTGACTTCAAGAATGGAGAAGAGAGGCTGCCAACAGGCATCTGTGACTGGGATCTGCATGAAGCTGAGGGAGGAAGAGAGGGTCAAGAGAGAGGTGATCTGTGTGTGGGGGTGTCTGATGTGCACAGCCCTGCATAATACAGTGGGTGTTCAGTCTTTCTGAGCACCAGGCCACTGTGGGTAGTCCTACCCCGGGACTGGCCAGCTTTCCCACCAGGCCCTCTGTCCCTACCACCTTGGCTTAGGGCTCCTCCTCTGTGTGGCTCCTCATTGTACATCCAATCCCCACCCCCCACCCCCCCCACAGTGTACTGACATGCTCATTTGGTGTGTCTGTTTCTGCCTTAGCATAGAAGGCCCCTGAGGACAGGGGCAGATACTTGTCATCATTTTTATCTGCAGTGCCCAAGCACAGGGCCTGGCACAGAGCAGAAGGTTGGTGATTTGGACAGCCTTCCTCTCTTTGATGTAGACACACCTGTAATTCTTTGGAATAGATATTCTGGACTCCAAGAAAGGAAAGGTGATGGGCACAGAGGCTGGGAGAGGTGGTCTGAGAGTGCGTTTATGATGAAAGGTAGTATGTGATCATATACTTACATACTGACGGTTGGCTTGGATGGGACTGTATCCCCTTCCAAGAGTAGCAAGACCACAGATAGGGTCTTTGGGAGGAGATAGTAAAGGGAACATCTTAACAGAGGATATTTGCAGACTGGAGAGGAGAGCATGATGGAGTTTGAGAGTGTTGAAATAGATGCTGCCTTGTATAATTTCCACCCCTTTAATTTCTCCACATTCACACACTGCTTTAGTGACCTCATCTACTTCTCAGGCTTCACCTTCTCAAGCTCTATCCCAAGTTTCATATTCATATTTCTATTTTCTCCCAATGAAGTACTAACCAGGCCAGACCCTGCTTAGCTCCTGTGATCAGATGAGATCTGGCATGTTTAGGGTGGTATGGCCGTAGAGTGATGTTTCTGTGTTCTGGTGAGATAGCTTCACTAACTTTCAATCTAATACATCCCAATATCACTACAACCTTAATTCATCTTCCTTGCAAATCTGCAGAGCTGTGCTGAGGCAGGAGGAGAGGTGAGGGGGACGGGGTAGGAGGACAAGCGCCTGCTCATTGGCTCCACCTCCTGGGCCTCAGTTAGCCTCCTCAGCTGCAAAAAGGGAACAACCACAGTTTCTGCCACAGAGAGTTCTGTGAGGGTTAAAAGATATTATGGAGAAGTGGCCAATCCAAGCATAGTAATAAATGTTCACTGACTAAAACAGCTGGAGCATTTCCTTCCTTCCCTGTTCCAGTTAGGGTACTGAAATGCTGCAACCCACGCCCCACCTGTGTTGAAAAGAAGGCTCAAAGAAACAGTTTCTCCTTGCTGTCTGAGCAAACAGAGTAATGTTTTCTTCTTCTTTTTTTCCCCAAAGAAAGGTAAAGGGGAAATATATATATGTACTTAGATCAGTGATAGTCTTGTCATTATTTTAGCATCAACTTGCTATACATTAGAGCAACTGAATATAATATGGAGTAAATTTGACCAGGTTAATATTTAGTATATAGTTGAAATTTCAAAAGAATTGTTTGCTATTTTATCTAAAATCTATTATATCTAAATCAGAACTATCTTGTTATAACAAATTCATATCACTGTTTCCAGCTAATTGAAAGTAGTTATCAGCATCACTATTTAACATTTTATTTTACTAACCTTCAATTATGCTACCTTTGATTTGGCTAATTACAAAAAATACAGGTTTAAACTGGATTTCCCTCTAGTTAAATTAAAAGCAAAGAAGACTTGAAAACATAAATGCTATATATTTCACAAGAAATCAGTTGCTTATTATCAATTAAATATTTAGTTTTGAAAAGGAAAAGGATTACTGTTAAACCACATGGTATTTTGGGAGCATTGAAGGAATTTTTCTTTCTCTGAAGAGCATTGTACAATGATATTTTTATGGAAAATAAAATATCTTCAGAGACATCAAAATAAAAGATGTCACAGAGAATCCCAAATGTTTTAAGTTTCAACAACTTCTGAATTGCTACAAATATGTCCAAAAAACTCCATCATTTGAAGGTTTAATTATCTGAATTTCTTTTATACTTATTTAGTTTTGTGAAACTTGAATTTTTAATTTTTTCTTTCATTCAACCTTTGCCATCTTTAATAAGAGTGACTGAAAGAAAAAATTAAAAATTAATTATTCAAAATGCATGATGCTTCATTATAAGGCAAATACCTGGGAGCCTCCCACCTGCCATTTTCATTTCCTTAATATCTCTGGTTAGTCTTCTTCTCCCTTCCCACAGCCTTCAGCCAGGCTTCCTTATGTCTTCCTGGAACTTTTTGTTTGTTTATAGTAGAATCTTACTGTTCTCTCTACCTTGTCTAGCTGATTCTCTGCCTTTAAAATTTCCCTTCCCATTTGCAGCTATAGCTCCAGCTTTCCCCATGGGATTCCCTCCAAGCTCTACTTGCCACTGTCCATCCTAAACTCTCTTGCTCTGGCCTGATGTTCCTGGTACCTTGAGCCCCCACATCAGGCCACTACCACTTGTACCTCCTGTACATAAGTCTGTTAAGACTGACTTCATGTTTATTTCATTTTATTTTTTGAGACAGGTCTCTGTTGCCCGACCTACCAGTGGTATCATCAGAGCTCACTGCAACTTCAAATTCCTGGGCTCAAGGCATCCTCTCACCTCACTCTCCCCAGTAGCTGGGATAACAGACACCCGTCACAATGCCCAGCTAAATTCTTTATTTTTGGTAGAGATAGAGTCTCAGTCTTGCTCAGGCAGGTCTTGAACTCATGAACTCATGTGGTCCTTTCACTTTGCCCTCCCAGAATGCTGGGATTACAGGAATGAGCCACTGCATCTGGCCCTATGTCACATGTATAACCAAGAACAACTGGAAACAACCTAAAAGGGGCAAGAATAGTATAATGGCTTAATCAGCCATGGTCCTTTCCCTGTGGAATACCACGTGGTGATTCAAAAGCTGTTGTCTCAGATTACTTAACACAGGAAGATAACCTCAATATATCATGAAAATAAAGCTGATGTAAAACAAAAATGTATGGCATGGTTCAATTTTGCCATAGAAGTGAATGTCCCGAGAAAAAAGGCTGGAATTTTTAGAATTGACCATTCAATTCTTAATGATGGTCATCTCTGAGCAACAGAATTCTAGTAGACATTAATTTTCATCTTTTTGCTTACTTATCTATCCTTATTTTTCTACAATGAACATGAATTATATTGTGATAAAAAAAACTTTAAAAATCTGAAAATAGTTGGGGAGTGACTGTGGGTCAAAGGAGTAGGGCACCAGCCAAATATGCTGGAGGTGGCAGGTTCAAACCCAGCCCTGGCCAAAAAACCGCAAAAACAAACAAACAAAAAAAATCCCTGAAAATAAAAGACCCTAATCTATGATTTCTTCTGAAAATTTTTTTCTTTCCTGGTCCCCCAGTGTGCTCACTTCCTTCCCTGGGCTACAGTAGTACCTTGTCCAGACCTTTAATACCTACAGTGAGAGATTAATACCAACAACAAGGTGTCACACTCTGTCATCCTGTTTGGATGAATGCTGTCTTCTCCAGTCTTTGAGCCCATTAGGGCAGGGATTGTGTCTTTAATCTGTGGTCTGTAGGGCCTGGCATAAGAGTAGTGCTTAAGAAATATTTATGGAATGAGTCATTTGAAGGGGGAGAGAGACACGTACCAGTATTATGAATAATCCTGCAACAGAGGCAAGGGAAGTCAAATGGGGAGGTTCTCAGTGTTGCTAGCCTGGAGAAGGATCAGAGAAAGATGCTCCTGCATCCTCAGAGGAGGGTTTCAGGTTGAGAGACCCAATCCTGGCACCATGCACACAAAGAAGAAGTCAGTTGTGCTGGGAAAAATAGAGGACTTCTTTGCAGACCTGGATTCTGAGGTGGTGGGGGAAGATCTCAGGGCCATTGCTATTGCCATTGAGGGGGACACTTGAAGCATCCCAGTTAGCAGTGTCTGAGGAAAAAGCACATGGAGAGAGCAGCAGGTGCAGGGGTGCTGCCTGACCCTTGGGGAGTGTGGGACAGCTAAGGTCAGCATGAAGGGGGAGTATGTGAAGGGGAGAAGGTGAGCAGTTGTCCTAGGGGTAGGAGAAGGGGTGAAGCTCAAGGTGGGACCCCACCAGGCATCTCTAGAAGCAAGCAGGGCCTGTCCCACAGTGGGCAGAGAATGGCAGAGATTGCTTTAGCCCCCTGCCCAGGCTCAGAGAGAAAGGCTTCAGTGCTCAGGACATTCAGGCTCATGAAACAGACAGAGGAACTGGATGGAGGGGCAGGTGTGTACTCACAGGACTACCCCCAGGGACCTCGGCATTGGTATGTGCTGTTCACCCTTATTCAGTTGGAGCCTCTTCATGTGGTGGCAGAATTTGATGCAGAAAGTGAACACCAGGAGCTCCATGCCTGTTTGGACACACACGCTCGATCCTTGGAAATGGACCATCACCTGTGTCACAAACTCCTCATCCTGAGTCTCATACAAACAATAGAACAACTCCAGAAAGCCAGGCAACTGGGGAGACTGCAGGACACAGGCCTCCCTCTTGGCCCATTGCAGCAGCTCTTGCTTCAGCTCTGGAGCCCGCTGGCAGGTGAAGATGCTCTCCATCTCTCTCCCTGCCTGCTCACCTAATAGGCCGAATAGGAAACGCCTGGTTGGTGCCCGGGACAGGACATGTGTTTTGTGTGCTTGTGGCAAACCTCTCACACCTCTGATGCTGTTACAATGTTCACCTCTCTTCTCATCCCCCAAGACATAGGACACTGCTGCCAAGAATTCCTGGAAACATCTGTGGATGAAGCTATAGACCCGGGAGTTGGGGTGCTTTAGAAGAACACCCATTGTCACAAAAGTGGAGATGATGCGCCCATTTAACCCGTGTCTCCTGAGGTCACCTGGGCTGAAGAGGCTCCTTTTTCTCCTGATGCCCTCAGCAGCCAGGGAGCAGATGCTTCTCAGATGGGGCCGGAGGGGCTGAGCCGGGAGAGCCTGGGAGAGGTAGCACCAATAGAGGCCAGTGACAGTCATGGTGGTCAGTGTGAGATCCTCCCCCCTCTCCATCTGCTGTTTCAGGCAGGTGCAGACCAGCCAGGACAGCCAAGGCATGAGACACATGGTCCAGACTGCTGGGTTTGACTCAACCAGGCTGAGAGCTCTAAGTGCTTGGCTTTTTACTGTGAAATAGCTGTAGAAATATTCCTTCCTGCTAGACTCAGAGAACCCCAGGACCTCCACCCAACGTGGCTGCTTCAGAGAAGGAATGAGCTGCTGCAGAGCCACAGTCCGAGTTGTGATCAGGAAGGATGCCTCGGGAAGTATGGTTTTCCCCAGCAAACTGCCCAGCAGCATGGCCACCTGCTGTGGCTGGCTCCAGTGTTGGCAGAACTCAGCATTCTGTTGCTGTAAGACCCATCTTGGCTCATCCACACCATCGAGGATGAAGAGCAGCTGCTCTGGCCGAGACAGAACCTGCTGAAGGGAAGCTGGAGGGGCCTCCTGGGCTTGTGTGATGAGGTCAGCGAGACTCATCACCTTAGACTGGGCCAGCTCTGCACAGCTGAAGTAGAAGACATGCTGGAAGCGGTCCTGGTACAGCTGGCCTTCCTCCCAGCCTCTCTGCACCTCCCTGGCCAGTGTTGACTTCCCAATTCCAGCAGCTCCATGCAGTATGACGATGCGGGGTTCTTCTTGGGCTCCCAGGCCTGGGCCAAATAAATCTCTGATCTCAATCAAATGTCCTTGATTCTCCATTATAGGGACTTGTCTCTTCCTTCTGACCAGGGACTTAAGGCTTCTGGGGTGAGGTCTTTGTAGAAGTAGCAGCTGTGTGAATTTTTTGTGCAAATCCTCATTTTTCCAGGACAGTGTGCACCACAGGTGCTGTCTCCATGGGTTTTGGCAACTTTCCTCCGGTACTAAAGGAGAAAAAGATGGAACATAAAGGTACAGAACAGTCATGTTCATTCATTTTTCACTCATTCAACAGCTATTTTAGGCCTTTACTCAAAGGCACTGACAGCACTGGCTACAGCGATGGCTGTATTCCTGCCATGGAGCTGAAGCAATGTGGGTTTTGGGGTGGAAGAAGCCACTTCAAATCTTGATTCAACAAAGTCATCCTTCCTGTATGACTTTCCTTCTTCAAATGTTTATCAAGGGCTTCTCGTGTTTCAGGTGCTGCTCTAAGGGCTGGGGATAAAGAGTGAACAAAACATGTATTCTCTGTCCTTATTAAGCCCATGACTTGGGCCATTAGCTCCTGAGCTTTGGTTTTCTCTTATGTAATCTGGGCCTGTGAGGTCTCCCTGCAGGAGGTCATGCAGGGGTGAAGGAGATAATGACAGTGTTGGAGATGCTGTGGGGTCCTGACAGCATCCCCTCAGCTCCCACCACTGCCGTAACTCCCAATGCCATCCCTCTGCAGCACCTGTGATGGTCAGTCTGCGGGCTCTCTCGGCCCACAAGTGGGTGGGCCAGAAATGCTCAGGAGTTAAGACTCTAGGAGGAGTCCTCAGTGGACAACGAATGGGGATCCCTTGTCCCAGAACAGACACCCCAAGGTGTGTCCACTCTCTCTACTGGTCATCCCTGGCCTCATATTTACAGGGACAACTTGCACCACAGTGCACCTTTGGGCTCCTCCCTCCCCATCTCACTTCTCCCCAGTAAAATACATGCAAGCAAATCATTCGTTGGCTCTGCTTCTGAAGGATTCCAACCTGAGACAGAAGGGGAGAAACCTCTGAGCTCACAGATGGGACTGTCCCCTAGAGAAGGACTTCAGGATCCCACATTAGATTCTAAATAGCAGAATTGCTACAAACTCTTCCTTCTTTCCCTTCCCAATATCTTGAATGCCTCTCACTTTTCTCTTATTCCATTATCAAGAATATTATTTTGTTCTAGTTCTTCACTTGGAAGATTCCCTTAGAATTTAGAATCAAGGAAATATGCATTTCTCTTGAACTGGTCTTTTCTCTTCTATTGAGTAGTAGGTATTATGTAATCTGTTGTATATTTCCCTTTTTGTCTTGGTTGCTAAGATGCTCAGAAGCAATGGAAACCTCAATTATAGCAACTGATTAATCCTCATGGCTTACATACTGGCTGTTTTTCACTTTTAAGGTTATTGCATTCTAGTAAGTTTATGGCATTTGTATGTTTCTGTAATATGCCTCTAATCTTACTTTTTCCCCTTCCTTTCTTTTTCCTTTCATTTTTTTTTTTTTTTTGAGTGGGAAGTTCTGTAACTAATTAAGCCGTTTGATATACTTTGAGCCTGAGCCCCATTTTAGGACCACAAATTCTACAAATTTACTCCCAGCTGGGTACAGAAGAACTCCTTTTAACATATCATCTCTCAGATTTCAAAGGGGACCTTTCCTAGTGCATTTATTTAGAGGCAGTAGAGTTCCGTGATTAAGACCTTGGCATTAGGGGCCCGTATACCTGAGACAGAGGGAGTAAGATGTATGAGTTGAAAGTGTGTCTTGTGGAGTCAGAGAGACTGAAGTCTGAATGCCTTTTCTGCCACTACTAATTAGGAGACTTTCTTATTTGAGCCCCATTTCCTCATTTTCAAGGTCAGATAATAAACAACATCTTATGGGGCTAGTGGGCAAGAGTAGCGGCAAGATCCAGGGGCTGACACAGAGGACGTCCAGCAAACACTATGGGCGTGTGACTTGCTCTGTGCTTCCCAGGGAGGGAGAAGCTCAGTGGAAATCAAATCCAGCTCTCCTGACCCCAGACCAGTGTCCCGTCCAGTAAACTGGGTGAAGTGTTTCCTATGGTAGAAGAGGCACCTGCATATTAATGTTCAAGGGTGTTCTGGAAACAGTACATTGGTCCAGTGGAGAGACTCCATAATAGGACTTCTGGAGAGCCATTTCAGATGTGTTTTAGGTCCTCTGTGTTTAGCCTGTCAACCTGGCCCTAATGGGACTCTTTTATATTTTTTTTTGGAGAGCAGGGCAATTGGACATTTTTTAGCTCAAACTATGTTCTGTGACAGCCAGCAACCCCTAAGAGCTGCTCTTTGCAAGCCCCTGCCCCGCCCCATACCCAGGACCCTCTTACTCTCCCCTCCCTACAAATTAACCAATTAACACCCGATGAAGTTCCCATTTTTCCATGGCACAAAAGTTTTGGCAGTTTGGAGCAATTCAGAAATGGGGCTCTCCTGTGCTTCCAGATCTGGAGGGGGGCAGAGTAGAGAGGGTGGATCTACCCCAGGAGACTCTTGGTCAGGTGTCCCAGCAGGGGACTCTTGGTCCATGCCTTTGCCACCCCTCTCCCTGGAGCTCAGCAGGGTCTCACCTGAGAAGTTCTTTAGACATGTTTCAGCCAGAGGCAACTTGGTTGCAAGAGCCTCCTGCTTTCTGGGCTTCGGGTTGGGCTGAAGTGGGAATTTTCTTCTCAGCGGCACCGCTGTGGATGTGGAGGTGTTGGGTGACTCCTGTCTTGCAGACTGCTGGTCTGGGAAGCTTGAAAGATCTTGGTAGGAGAGCAGGGAAGGTTTTTCTGTGAGGGAATTACAGTAAAGAAATGACAATTTATCGAGCATGCATTTTATTTTCAGTGTATACTGTTGGAACTCTCACAACTGGGTTTCAGTAATACTATTTTTAAAGCCATGTGAACATAGAGAGATGATTTTATTCCTAGTAGCTAGCTGGTCTGAAACTTCTCAGTGGGAATATAGTGTTTAATAGGTTGTAACTTTTTTTTTTAGACAGTCTCTTTTTGTTGCATGGGCTACAGTTCAACCAATGTCTATGTAGCTCACTGTAGCCTCCAACTCTAGGGCTCAATTCATCCTCTGACCTCAGCCTCCCAGTAGCTTGGACTATAGGCATGAGCCACTGCATCCAGCCTGAGGAGGAAGATCTTGATAAGCCACTTGGAGAGTTGAGCTCCCCATTTTGGGTAAAAATAAGTAGTTACTGAATGGTAGTCTAAAGAGGGTGGGTTCTCTTTACCACCAGGCAGCTGCTTTACTAGGCACTGAAATGAAAGTTATGCAAATTGGGGGCAGAGCAGAATTTCTCTGTGTCACAGAGAAGGGAAGAGCCAGTAAGACTGGGTACTGCAGGAGGGTAGGAAAAGAGAGAGAAGAATGCTGGCGGGAGCATACGAGGTCCTCTTTGTAGGGAGAGATGTGAACAGTTTAACATATCTGCTACAATGTCTTCAGTAGTATTTACATCATGCACTTGAACTGTAATGCAGGTAGATTTTTTTGTGCATCACTCAGAGAAGTACAAAGTCTGTACTGTGGAGTGGGAGGTGGCATGAGGAGGGAAAAATCAGTAGTCATATGAAGGCTCTGAGGAGGAAAATGAGACAGAGGGGTGGAGAGGTTTGTTTCATGTCACACAACAAGGTAGTGAAGTAGGGGTGAAAACTGAAGGCAGTGGAGTCTGGGCCTGTGAGGATCTTTGCAGGGTATGAGGATTGGGGTGGTGGTGAGAGTAGGCACAGAAGGAAGGGAAACAGAAAGGGCCAGGTGGAGACTGGGAGTCACAAAGCAGCAGCAGGCTGAGGAGGAAATCCCTGCACCCAGAATGCATTGTTCTTGGTTCTAGCTCTTGCTCTGCCACTAAATGCTGTGTGAGCTTGAACAAATGAGCTCCTCTCTCTAGCCATCTGCTTTGGGAAGAGGTGGCCACTTTGAAGCTTTCATGAGAAGCGGAAGAGGCAAGGGTGTAGCTGAGGTTTGCAGACTGGGTGATTCAGGGTATCAGAGACCAAAATAAAGGAAATCAGGTGAGGGAAGTGGGTTGGGCTGAGAAATGAAATTTGCCTCTTGGGGCCCACCTGGAGAATAGTGTCCTCAAGAATTTCTGCACCAGCCTGAACCCAAGAATCTTCAGAGTCTACCACAACAGCAAACTGAACTCTGGTTGGCAAGGACCATGTCACACATGGCACCCAGTTGGGTGAGACACACTGCCTGACCTATGTTGGTCTCAGTTTCCCCATATGTCCTATGGGGAGTGGGTATAATCTCAGCATTGGCAGGTCCTTGAAAGATATTTTGAGGGCTACTGGCTCTTAACACCCCACCCCAGCTCCCCCACACTTCCTCTGCTGTCCTCCCTTCCAGGTCCCAATGTAGCTACATGCTCACCCATCTGGAGATCCAGTGATTCATGTATAGCCTTACCTGGGGCTCCCAGCCCAGCTTAGCAAGATTTATATTTGCAAGAGTGTTCAAATCTAAATATATCTTTCCTTTCTGAATCCTGGAGGTGTTCCATTAATGGGAAAATTTTAATGTCTGTGAAGTTCTTCAGCTTGCAAACAGGGATGGGCTGGCTTAGGGACTCCAGATTCAGATTATGTACATGTGGGGAGCAGAGGGATGGGAGGTTGTCTACTACAGAAAGGAGACAGAAATGTTGGAGATATGTCAGAGGGGCAGGGGCAGAAGCCAAGAGACTGAGGCCAGGGCTCTCAATATTAAGCAGATCTCTGGTCTCAGCAAAGAGAAGTCAAGAGAAGCCAGGTCAGATACTGCAGTCCTCCACAACTTTTTTTTCTTTTTCTTTTTATTATTATTATTATTTCTTTTTTTGGTGGTTTTTGGTGGGGGCTGGGTTTGCCACCTCCAGCACATGGAGCTGGTGCCTTCCTCCATTGAGCCACAGGCACTGCCCAGCCCTCCACAATCTTTTCCAATGGTTCATCCGAAGATGATTCTCTGATGGACACTGCTGGGCATAAAGTAGTGTTCTGGGATTCAGGAAAAGTGCGTATTTGTCCTTGTTCTGACCCCACTCCCTGTGTATGTCACTATCCCGCTCACATTTGGGGCTAAGGCTTCTGCCTCCCAGGGCTGTTTATAGTAATTATAACAACAGCAGCAGTAGCAATAGCAAGAAGAGCTCTTATATATCAAGGATTTGTATACATCAGACTCAGGGCTGAATGTTTACCAGAGTTAGTTTCCATGGTCTCCCTCACACAGCCTAAGGAGGGAGTCTCTTGCTCTCCCATTTTAAAGATGGAGAAATAGAGACAGAGAGATTGGTGAAGTGATTTTCTCAAGGTGGCAGTGCCAGGACTGAAACCTGCCTCTGCCTGAGTCTGTGCCCATCACTGCCTGCCAGGAAAATGCTCTGCCCGGGAGCTGGGTCTGAAGTCCATCCCCACCCTTTCCGGCACCCTTCTGCATATCTCTGCATCTCCCTCCCAGGCATGGTGAAGGCCATAAGGGTGGGGAGATGCACTTGAAGAGAAAAGGGCGTGGGGCTCTGGGACCCAACAAGGGCCCCCAGCTCCAGCTTAATCTTTGTCAGGTTGGTCCCAAGTCATTGCCCAGCAGCAGACCTGGCAGGGAGGGTGCAGTGGTAGTGGTGAGACCCCAGGGTGGAGGAACGGGCTCCAGGAGGAGTACAGCAGACAGAAGGGCCCTTTGTGCACTCACCTGACAATGAGCCCACCTCTGCCTGGGCCTGAGCATGGAGTGAGCTCAGGCCCATCTGCCTCCAGGTTTGCAGAGTCAGGTCCCAGGCCTGCTGCTGCCCATACTGAGCCACCAGGCGTGAAGCCACCTCCATGCCACTCATCTTCTCTGGTGGAACAGCCGCCACACTGGAAGGCCCCTGAAAGGATGCTTCACTGGACAGACGAAGCTGGAACTCCTTCAGCTCCTCCTTCTTCAGTAGCTCCAAGTAATCACCCAGTTGCCGCTGGCCTCTGCTGGCCATGTCTGGCCCAGAATAGATCACTGGGGGATGTTCAGGTGGATGGGTGTTGAGGGGTGTTGGTTGTGTAGAGAACAGTGGTTTCCTTTGCCTTGGCTCTACCATCTCCCACTGTGAAACTCCCACTGGGCTTATTACTCTTGGCTTGGTAAATTCTTCAGCATTCACACCAGTTTTGTAAGCCGCAGGGCATCTGCCAGTAGATGATGTTGGCAGGGGTGAGGGGAAGGGGAGTGTTAGGAAAAGTCAGGAGGGGGAGGATTCTGGAAGAGACTGGGAAATGTTGGAAGAAGTCAGTTTATGTGCAGGTGCAGGGGTCAGGCCCAGGGCTCAGCAGGGTGATGGGAGTGGGGAGGCGAGGGCAGGGGGTAGGGTGTAGGTGACACTCACGGTTTTGTGTTCCTCAGATTCTTCCTTCTCTTGGGCCCCAGACACCTGGGATTAATCTTTTAGCTGCAATGCTGGCAGAAGGGGTCTCTTCAGAGGCTTACAGTGTCTCTTCAGACCTTTCCTGGCCCTGGGATACCAACCAGTGAAAACAACCCAGGGCCAGCCAGAGCAGGATGAAAAAGTTACTCAGGGGAAACCCATGGGGGTGTGGCCAGGGGAGGGTGGTGTCCTAGTACAGCCACAGTATAGCAGAGACTTTGAGCTGGATATCTAGGGAGGCAGTACCCACAGGCAGGCTGGGGCACAGGAGGTAGCATGTGCAGACAGATAGGCACACATGTTCATGCAGCTAACTGAGGTCAGAGAGGTGGCTCACACCTATAATGCTAGCACTCTGTGAGATTGAGGAGGGTAGATTGGCTGAGCTCAGGAGTTAGAGTCCAGCCTGAGCAAGAGTGAGACCCCTTCTCTAAAAATAGCTGGGCATTGCATCGGGTGCCTATAGTCTCAGCTACTTTGGAGGCTGAGACAGGAGAATCACATGAGCCCAAGAGTGTGATGTCAATGTGAGCTATGATGCCATGGCACTCTACTGAAGGTAACAGTGAGACTCTGTTTCAAAAAGCAAACAATACAAACAAATATGTAGATATCTGCCTTCCCATCACCCAGAGCCTGCCTGCAGAGCCAGGGTGCACAGTTTCCTGGCAGGTAGCTCAATGTCTGAGGCAGGCTATGTTTGAGGCAGGCTTTCAGAATGGGTGGGGGCCCCTGTCTGCCAGGGCAGCTCTTTCTTGGAAAACATTAGGGCCAGACCAGGGAGCATCCTTCCCAGCCTTTCATGGTTTTGGAGGCTTCCTGAGCCTCATTGCTTATCCTGCCATGCTTCGAGGGGCCCTGAGAAGTGTGTCCCAGGCCAGGGGGCTGTCTGCTTTGTGAGCAGCTTGGTTCTCAGCTAGTAAATACTTTAACGGAAAGCAAAAGAGTCCCCTTCTTCCCCCATCACTGCAAAGCCAACACTTCTTCCTGTTTTGTAAACTCAGCAGAGGTTGCGGTCTCCACATTGAGGTATGACATTACCAACTTGTTTGCTCCTCTCTGATAAAAAGAACCAGCAGTTTCTAGAGATATCCTGATTTGACCTGGGCTAGCCAAGTCCAGGCTCCAGCCCCTGGCTTACATAGACACTTACTCCTTATTGGCTGATTCACTTCTCTGAGCCTCAGTTTGCTTATCTGTTAGCTGGGACATCATAGGTTTGGCAAGAGGCTCAAATTCAGCAAAAGCTCTTAGTAGTCATTAAATACATTGGACAAGTGTTAGTTTTATTTATGGCACATGAACACATTGCAGGATATTCTAGCATCAGACTTACCTGAGGGAGAAAGCCCTGTGCCAAAGTCCAGGATGACCTGAGGGGTCTGAGTGCTCTGTGAAGGACCTTGAGGCTCCTGGGGAATGTTCTGAGGGAGGAATGTGGGGGCTATTCTTTTTTTTTTTTTTAACCATACTTAATTTTATTTTATTGTTTCTTTTTAAATGTGGACTTACATTTTATTTTTTTCCTTTTATTACCAAGTCACATATACATAGATCATGAATACATTTATGCCTATGTGGGATTCCATGTGTTGATTTTTTTGTACAAATTGGAGTGGTTACACCCAAATAATTATCATGGCTTTCACCTCACTTACGTAATCACTTTTAAGACATTTGTGTTCTATACTTGATAGATTTGACTTGTACCCTTGCAATATGCTCCATAGGTGGGGTTCTACCATTTACCCTCCCTCTATCAAACCACCCACCTCCCCTTCCATGTCCCTCCCCTGCTCTCCTTCATCCTGGCCATTTCTGATTAATGAAATTAGAGATTTTACTCATTTTTTTCCTGGTTAGGTTAGCTGAAGGTTTATCT